TTTTAGTATTCTAAAATTGACGTTAACAAATAAGAGGTCTCTACATTGTTGTTAGACGGATTTTAAATTAGAAAGAACGAAACCTGAATAGAGATTTATTAAATTTTCATATGTTCTCATTTTTCATATTTATCACTGCAGATTTTATGCACTTAGAAGAGAATTGAAATTGTAAAAACGGACTGTGGGTTTTATGAATCCATAAGGAATGCGAAATACAGAAATATAGAATATATCAGAGTGCATATTACGAAACTGTTATTTAAGACACGTTCTCTAAACTGTCGTTATAAATATATTTTATTTCACATGAAAATCCACAGTCTATTTAAAAAACTGTTAACAATATCAACAGTTGAATGCACGTTTCAATAATTACACGATAAAATCAATGTTGATCTGTTAAACATTTTTTTGTGAACGATTGATTTTGCATAAAAAAAGAAAACTGCAGTCTACCTATACGTGTTCTGTACTTGTCGAGAAAAACTAAACTAGTTTCGAAAATCCGCAGGCTAATCAGTACAACTGGATGTTCCTCACGCGTGCATGCGTGCAGCGTGATATTTAGACATTTTTTATGAACGATCGCAAAGACTAGTCGCGACAGATTTTAGACGTTTTACGAGATCGACGATCTACCCAATGATCATCGACACTACAGTATTTCTATTGAAATTAGTCGCTGTTTCTTGTGTAACGTAACGACTTATCGGTTTCAAGGTATGGAGCGATATTACACCGTCACGTCTATCGCAATGACCAACTTGATAGATTGTTCTATGTATCATTTCCTTCTGATGCATTTATAATAAATAAACGACTAATGGAATGTCTTGGGACAAGCCTTTTTGTCGACAAACCAAGAATAGAAGATTGTATAATATTTAAAAATGACTGTTCATTTATTTACCTTAAAAATAGATCCTAAACATATAGAGATTCAAGGTAACAATAAAGCCAGTAAAGCCACTACCTGTTTGAATCATGTTTCAAACATTCCTTACAAAGAAGTTCTTCGATCGTACAAAATTCGAATGAAAGATGTATGGACCTGTACTACTTGGATCAATTCATCTCTTTAAGTCCTAAAGTTTAGGAGGTGCTTACATGTTAAACAGACACCCTAAAAGTAAACTAAATGCTCACTGAAACACTGCCATATCTAAAAATGGCAAAACAAACAAACCGGCACGACGGTACGTACGGACTCTCATAATACTCGAATGCAAGGGCCTGAGGGAGGCGTCCCGGAACGCCTCCGCAGCCGAGCTTAGCATACACAGAGTCATTCCCTAAGTTATTTACGTACCGGTGACCTGTAATCGCTTGCTAAAATTCGCTACCCTAAATAATTGTATGAGAACGAGAGTCTATCAACTTTTCATTTTAAATACTTATTTAATTCGTTACTCATAATAACACATTGTGCATTAAAACTTGAGAATGTATTCTACAGTTTAGTAATTTCAAATAAAATCTGAGAATTCCTCAAACAGGAGGTTTGAGAACGTCCAACTTCCTACGGACTACACCCTACGTGGCACGTGTTCAAATGAAATCATACTGACCAAGCAATAACTATGTATTAATTTACTCTACTTCTATTGTCCTATAAAATATTTGTCCTCACTCTCGTTCTCATTAATACGAAATAAATCGCGAATACAAGAAGCTCTGACTTGAGCCAACACATAAATGAAATATGAACACATAAATGAAATACGAACATATACATGAAATATGAACACATAAATGAAATATGCTACTTCAGAGCATTTATAATATTATAAATACTCAGAAGATGAAATAATTAAAAAATACAACCAGTCACCCGTACCATTTCGGACCCTTCGTCCTACGACATGACCGGAGGAACTTAAAAGCATGCGACTCACCGATGATGAAAACCTCGATTGATGCTGCTTCGGCCACCCCAAAATTGAGGAATGTCAGGAACCATCCGCCGGTTGTCGAAGAAGAAGAAGAATAAAGATGAAAACTGTAACAACTTAAAAAGAAAAGAAGCGCTATGATTTATTCAATCATTTTTCGAATTTCCAATATTGTAATCAAAAGACGAAGCTATAATCAAATTTACTAAATTCTATTCACGATTTAACTGGTGAAAATTAGGAAGCAAAGTTATTTGAAATGAAAAATGCGAAGATACTTACATTGTACTCTCGAGGAGTACCGCATAATCTCTTATATTCTTCGTTCTTGATGTGACTTTAAACGCGCGACTCTAATAACACTGAATGACCATTTTGAGAATGTAAGAAACAACAATAAAAGAAGTATTAATCGACGAACAACACTGACTCTAATTTCGCGATTAAATGTATCAAAAATTAGAAAATTGAATTAGAGAAGAAAATATAATGAATCAATTCGAAATTGACTTAAAGATATTCAAAATTAAAATTGAACTCAACTAAAAATTACTACGGAACAAACACTGAGTCTACCGGCCGCATTGCGCGCGGCCACCGAATATTCTTGGAGCAGCCGAGATAAAACCCCTTCAAAAGAAGTAAAATCGTTCTTAAAATCTTGTAATTATTCTTCAATTATTCGATAAACACAATACTTAATGCCCCCTTAAGCGTTTGTTTTAATTGTGAAAGAAGTGACTTCGACCGAAGGAAGGAGAGGTAAATGCGTAGTAATGAAACACGGAGCTTTTTTTTTACCAACCGGACGTAAACAAAACATGTTTCAACAGGCACGTTCGAAAATTGATGGAGGGGGGAACGCTTGAGTGTGCATTACGTAACTACGTCTAATTTCAATAGTAACCATAAAAAGTATTCAATTGGAGTAAATTCGACTAAGAACAAAAGATAAAGATCGAATGATAGAAAATGAAACTATACTTACATTGCTGCCCACCGAAGAATGCCTTCTCTTCGCGCTACCTTCTTTCTTGAGAACAAGACAAGAATAAAAAGATAATGACTAGATAACTACAGATATGCCCGTTCAAATTCTACTCGACAAACAAACACTGACTCGAATTTCGCGACAGAATTTATTAAGACAGAATTACGAAATAGGAAATGACATTTTAAATTGACTAAATAACTAGAAAAATTGCAATCTATAATGCAAATATGAAGCAAGGTTCTACGACCGCATTGCGCGCGGCCACAAAATCAAGAAAAATACATAATTACGAAGCAAACACTGATTCTAACACAAGACCGCATTGCGCGGTCACAAGAAAAACCTGAAAGAATAATAATCTGGAAGCAAAGCACAATTAATATTAACAAGAAGGTAGGAATAAAGAGAAATTAATTAATGATATGCGTAAGAACACCACAGTACCTTGCCAATTGTCCAAACGAGTCAGAATGATGTGATCGATTATATCGATGCACGCCCTATCGAGCTGCAATTGCGCGCCAAGCATCGTCACTGCGCCAACTTCACTCCGAATCTAGTCAAACAAAATCAAAGGAAATGCGTATTTAAAACGACTGTATAAAGATAAAATCAATTAACGATATCGAAATCTAAGACTAAAGTCGTGAATCATCAAAGAATGTACAAAAAACTTGCTAAAATATAAGCAATGTGTCTCATAAACGTTCAACAAGTAGTCGAGCAAACGCGTAATGATCAATCGGAATCAATAACGGAATTCTCGGAATAATAGTGAAAGAACAGTAGTTATAGCACTTACGTCAGATGCTAAATGTGTTATAACACGTTTCTAAGCCGGTGGTGATAATTATAAGTGATAATGATATATCAAAGTCAGACGCCGGTATGTTACAAATTAGAGAGCCGGCACAACCAGCACGACGCACAAGGAACAAGTGACTAACTCGGCGCAGACGCAAGAGTCGGCAAAGTGGGGGATATGCATCATGGCCGCCGTTGACTGGACTCTTGGTGGGGTAGGGCTCATGGCTACCGCGCCAAAATTTAAAAGCACGCCGCTCCCGGCTTTACGATTCTTTTCAAATTATTTGAATAAATTTCAGGACTCTCAACACATTAAACGCTTTATATCGGTATATTTTTCGTCCAGTATAATTTTAAATAATTCGGAGATCATATAAGAACGTATTTAAATATTAAGTATTACAAAAAGAATTTTAATGAACATTATTAAAACATTTTATAAGTATTTCACCAATTTAGTTACGAAACCAATGTGAATTTATTTTATTCTATTCATGTACACATAGTCTTCTAACAATTTATCGAAAGTATTTCACGAATTCAATGTGATCAACGTATGTATTCACAACAGATAAGGTGAATACCTGTGTACTGTATTAATATCGATGAGAGCTGCGTTAGAAGGTTGTGAACATTCTTGTTAGAGGGGGAACTCGAACGACGGAGAGTGGGGAGCACATGGGTGCGTAGTATGTATACTTGCAACAGGCCAGGTTTCATAGATCCATTTGTAATAGTGTGGACAGTGTGGTTTGTTTCGAAACGCGTTCCGTATTATTTCTTTCTCGAAATAAATATATGCGTTTGATTTCGAAGAGAGTTAGTGGACGATTTTTATCACCGAGTGTTTCGAGAATAGAACAGTACCGACCTGCCTGCGATAAACAGGGAATACTCGGAAATAATCGGGTACATATCTACAGGCCATTCTGTCAACTCAGGTACATTACACGTTCTGTATACATAGAAACAAGGTCTTCGACGACGCACGCCTTGCGGTCTGGATACATACGTGAAATAAATATATCTCACGTATAAAAAAAAAACAGAGGAGGAAATAATACGAAATCTGTTTATCCGCGATCTGACGATGAAGCAACAAGCGCGAAGTTGAGATAACAGTATTTTAATTGCTCGCTAAGAATGCTAAATGACACCTTTCCCGCTATTTCACGTAAGCGGTAAGAATCTGCGGTATGCACTTACGTACTTCACGCATGGGTCACGATTATTTTCGTCGTTATTACCTGTTGACTCCATTGCCGTGACTTAGAAAGTATCATTCTATATAAAGTATTTGTTCGTTTTCTCGACCGATCAAATACGTGGTTGCATAGTTTTCTCGGTCGGCCTGTTCCACGTATCGTTACCGTTGGACTGTAGAGCTTTGATTACGATAACGTGCCACACAATCGAATCCACCGCCCACACGCGGAATGCAACTGATGGACGATCGTCTGACACGATTCGTCTTCTAGTGCATTGCTCGCACATTACTCACATCAGATGATAGAAAGTCTTGTCATTCGCTATTTTCAATTGAAATGACCTCACTATAAAACGTTAAGTAATTGTTGTAGTATGCAGCCGGGATATGACATAATTTCTCCGTCCAACGCGAATCTGCGCTCTTATCTAAGAACGCCCGACACTGCACGACACCGATACCGCGCAGCATTTTTTTCGTTCACTCCGGTAACAATTTTTATCTACGATCCCAACGCACGGAAAGTGTTGAAAAAATTCATAGATACACTATCTGACATAGTGTACACTATATAATTTTTATAGAATTCTAGAATAACAATTTTTATTCGAAAAAAATTCATGAAGTATTCTTCGGTTCGTTTGATATAAAAAGAAACAATTCGTATTGTAAAAGGATGGAGAAATTGTTCGCAGAATTTGATAATTGATAAAACGTATTTTTAATTCGGTGAAGTGAATTATTGAATTGAATAGCTGAAGTTTACCGGCGGAAGAGATAAGACGATTTAAACGATAAATCAGTTTTATGAGATGAAACATTTAAACCCTGCCGATAACGCGGACGTTCCATCGATTTTTCGTTAAGCTTATTTTGATGAAAAACCGTTGAATTCTAATTCGAGGAATTTCGTGCCACAGCCCGATTTACCGTTGTTTCTGATAAGTTTCAGAGATTAGGACTTACGTACAGTGGCCTTCGTTAATATTCATGGCTCTCATAATTGGTGCAATCATAAAAGTCAATAATAATAATAATATTTACTACGATTGAATCGAAAAATTGTCTATCGCATAATTTTTCTCAAAGTGAGCACGAAAGATGGATCAAGGATTTCCGACGGTACACACCACTACCACCACGGTGACGACGAGCTCGACGACCACACATCCAATCATAAGATTCGATCCGTATTATACAAGAACATTGCCGGGAATGCTGAAAGTCGCCCAGGTGGTAAGTTCGCTTATTGTTACTTTTTTAAATTGATAGCACGTGCTCGTGACAATAGCTAATTCATCTCACTCAAATTATCGCTGCCACTTCACGACAGTCGTATATCATAAATTATGCACTTTGAAATATTTATGAAACCAATGAATACATTGACGTTAGTTGTTTTTTAATTATTAACAGGGCAGGCTTTAATAATTTTGATTACGTGATACGTTTATCTTTTATAGGTCTTAAATCTCCTCGGATTTATATGCATCACGGTGTCGAGTCAGAGCAACTCGAGTCGCGGAGGGTGGTTCAATACCGTGGCTATGATCGGTTTCTGGTTCACTGGAATTCTACTTGTCTTCTACCTCTTCCACATCGTTGAGAAATTCTCAAAGATTCCTTGGCTGAAAATCGTAAGTTCCAGATAGAGCGTCCAATACGGTTTGCCCCGTAAAAGACAGGAAACGTGCGAGCTAAAGGAATAATAATTTTCGATTCATCTCCCTCCTTTGATATTTTTTCGTAAATGCAATAATAACGGAGTTGTGACCTGAAACAATTGCGTGGACCGCTCTGTATAATCCGCGAACTTTTTAATCGGATTTCGTACTATCGTCGTTTCTATGAAATTATATTGATCGTTTTGTGTGAACGTGGCGACAATTTCTAAACAGTAAATCATGCAAAATTTACCGTGTAGCTTACTTTTGTACGGAGATATCGATCTGATAGTTGAAATAAGTAGGGCGAACCGCGATTTAGCACGCTACGTATCATGACGAATAGTTATCGAGTATAATTATTCTTTAAGAAGTTTTCAAAGTCACGTTGTTTCGTTTACAGGAATTTATATTCTGCGTGATTTGGACCGCGTTCTATTTGCTGGCTGCTGCCCTCGCGGCTGATTATGCTCGGTACGTGGAGGCGTTCGGAGTTGCAGCGGTAAGTTTCAACGATTCAGTAATGAGTAGACCGCGGATTTTAAATTTTTCTAGAAATACATAAAATTTGTAATCTACCGATAAAAAAGATATTCCGATTGCTAGACGTTTTATCTTATTTCAGTTCTTCGGATTTTGCGCTATGGTGGCCTACGGTTACGACGCCTGGTTGAAGTTCCACGCGGCAAGGAGCGGTGCCTTAGCGCAGGGCCAGCACTCTCCTAAACAAGTGTCGACGGTGACGAGCCCTACGTATTAATTTATAACGCGAAACTATCGAATGGACCAGTTTCAAGACATATCGTAGCTTTTACAGAGTGGATTCACTCCAGCAGATCTAACCGAGCTGTTCGTTCCGAGTCGGTCGAAAGGTTCAGAGGTCGAAACGCTAACAATCATGTAACAGGGCACAAAAGATTTCGTTCATTTCGCACATTCTCTTGTTTCCAGGATGTATATATGTACTTGCATACGTAGATACATACCGTGTAATCATTACCACACGCACGATACTCGGTATTTTCATAGAACTTTGTATGATAAAGAGAAGGTAACGCATATTTTTCGATGTCTCTCATATAATATATATATAATATAAATTATATACTTGTACATTGCGCCGCGAGTTTTTCATGTTTGCTCTCGAAGTTCGAAGCAACATTTTTGAACGTATATATATACTTGTATGCTTGTACAAAGGATATACACGTTTTATCAGTACTGTGTTCATCGTCGTGAATCGTTGACAGATTTCTACACGTTTTATATTTAATTTCGTATCATGATAATTATGTATTATCTCATTCCCGATTAAAATGACAGATGGGCGGACGGTTTTTATTTCCGATTGTCCACGAACTGTTAAACGGAACGTTCGATTAATTATTTGTTTGATTTCATGTGTCACGTAATTATTTTTATGTCTCATGCATCACACAGTTAGGGATTAGGGATAAGTGATAATCGTAGTAATTTATCGATCTTTCTCATTGATATTAAGCAGTGCGTCGGATTCTATTTTCGTTAGTTTTATTCGACGAACTCGATAAAGGTACCTACATTTATATTTACACGATATGATACGTACTAATTAATTCTAATTACATATTTTGGATAACATCGATTCGATGGTGATCACGACGGAGTTTGTATTTACTAGATTGATACTTAATAAAATAGAAATCATTCGATGTTACTACTTGAATGGCTGTTGTTACTATCTTCATAATTGCTAATAATTAGACTGACGATTTTTATCAGTAGAAATTCTTCGATTTATCTGACAAGGAAACATCAGTAAACTAAGGCTTCTAACGTCCCACAGAAAATTCAATTATTTCGTCTAATATTAGAAAAGTTATTTCCTTTTGAAATGCGTTGGAATATGAGGATCATTGCGTATGCTTCGATTTTGATACTCCTATTTCCTCACATCGAATGCACTGTTCAAAATTCGATACATTTACGATCTTTATAAATAAATGAAAATCCTCAGTCTAGTTATTATCAACTTCTCCAAACTGCTACCTCATGCACTACCAAATAAGTAAATAAAAGAAAAATTTCGCGAGTATCTTTTCGATCAAATAAAAGTAGTAATTTTAATTCTGTTAGAATTGACGGGGTCTGCGAGACTGTTTCTTCCCCATGGTTGACAAATCTATGGTTTTACCATCGGGAAGTACCAGCTTGTTCTCGTGATAATCCACAAACCCATTGTCTTCTTCTTCCTGCTGCTCGTCGCATTTGATACCCGTCTCATAGGTGTATTCCCGACGATTACCGTCCGGATCGATGTACCCGTATTTGCCCCTGGTAATGCAGTCGACCCCGATCAGCTCTTCTTTGTAAGAGCCGTCGTCGTTTTCGAAGCCCCAGGTGATCGAGCCGTCCGCATTATCGTTCCGATATCGTCTGATGATCTGTAGAGACGCGCGTCATTTCAAGCCGTCAGTATAATTACTTGTTCATCGTTCGACTACTTCGAACCGTCTAAATCAAGCATGTCAAACACGAAACATAAAACGACTATGTATGTATGATATACAATACATTGAGCTTGACATTCAGTCAAATACATAATATAATCATTCTAAAAATCGTATTTTATTAATTTTTTTCATCATGTGGTTCGTAATATTATATGAGTTTCACATGCCTGGTGTAAGTATTCTTTTGAAATTACGTCATTGTTACAAGCATCACGATCAATTTTAGATGAACATGTCAGTCTGATCAAGGTAATTTAAGTCGTCGTTAAATTACTATATCTTCACGTATATTTGTATTAATAATTAACATGAAATAATAGAGCTTCACTGACGTGCTATTATTTCGACTTATACTCGGTGTCCATACATGGAGAGAATTCCTGAAATGGTGGAATTCACTTCCCACGAGAACCAACACGTTCCCAATGAATCGATGTAACGCATATTTCTTCCATAAAACGAAACATAATTCAGGTTTGACTAACAAGTCCTGGGGTTCACTCTACTTTCCTGGCAAATATTTCTCACTTTTTTTCATGAAGATTACCAATCGAAGAGATCTCTTTCCCACCACTCAGAATAATTAAGCAACGTTCGTGTACTTACTTGCGCCACGGGCTTCTTTCCACGAGCGTCGTAAGGCTCGGTCTTCACCGGTTTCGTGGGCGGTTTCACCTGTTGCTTGTACGATTCCTCCACCGGTTTCCTCGGCTTGGTCGGCTTCGGCGTCGGTCGATATTGAACAGGTGCGGGTGCCGGAGTGGCCGGTGTTATGCTTCCTCTTCCGATAGGACCTCCCGCTGCCGAAAGTGGACGATATTGCACAGGCTGCGCCGATGGGCCTATGTTAGAAGTTCTTGATATCGAGCCGAGGTTCGCAATATTCCGCGGCAAGTTCTCTTCGCTCTCCTCTTGACTGTCCAACGGCTCGTCGCTCAAATCCGAATTTTCGTCGTCTTGGCTGTCACGGTTTCGGGTGTCCTCCTCCGGTTCCTCGTTAACTGGTCTCACCTGAGGCGGGGCTGGCGACGGTGCGCTGGGTAAAATCGGTAAAGGTCGAAGTGGTTTGATCGGCGTGAACGATCCTGGTCCCGTCGCTATCGAATCTTCCGATCCCTTGGGTCTGATAAAATTAGGTTTACGATGTACAGGAATAATAAT